CTCTTTTACAAATTCCATTAGAATCTAAGTAATTCAATAATTGAAAACACTACCCAAACGACTACGATCCAACATTTTATCAAAAATGGACAAACCCCTAGACAAGTAGTCTTTTTTTATATGAACATACACATGCATCCAAAGTTGCATGAAGTGAAGAGAAAAAATTGTGTTACATTGAAACCTTGCAGCTTTCTTGAACTCGATAGGGCTATCCACTGGGATCCATACGCTAGCTCTAACATACTCCAAAGAGTTTGAATTCTTAGCATGAAGTTGTACAGTCTCCACTCTTCCCAAAGCATATTCTATACTTTCTACTGTCTCTACGTTAAGAAGATGTAAGGGAATACCTTTTATCCTTACCCATAATGGGATTCTAGCAAGGAAGTCTTCTGGTGGATTAGGTACCCTCTCCCTTATCACAAGCCATCCGTTGACATACCAGAGAGCTTTACTTAAGACTGTGAGCTAATCTTCTTCATTGTTGAAGATAAATTGGGCGTAGTGTTTCCCCACACCTCTACCTTTTACTTTGCCCTCCATTTTCTAGATTAGGCAAAGTTGCAATAGCTCCCGCAACCTTAAGCACGTCTGTATTAAGAATACGTACTATAATACTAAAGGAATGTTCTTCAATCAACTCTTGATTATCAAAGTGAGGAACCTCAATAACTTTGTCAATATCAACTTCCTTTTTCTCCTTCAATTTCTTTATCAAATCAACATCTCTTCTGATAAAACCTCGATTTATCTTTACTTTCTAGAAAGGTCCTGGTTCACCTACACTTCAATGTAGTGCTAGGAGCTCTTAACTACTTTACATCTCTAAATGGATCACTCTCCGGAGGGAACTTAACTCCACAAAGAGAGAGTGGTGTCGAAATAACTTAAGCCCACCAAGCCCAGTTGGTGAGAATCACAGTTAGAGTGTAGACAACAGTACTAAATCCACTATTTGGTAACACAAATTCAACACGGAGGAACCAGATGCGTCCGACTAGACCTTGAAAAAGATGGCTTCAAAAATTCTGAGACAGAAACAGTCACTGCAGTCCTCTGCTGTCGTATTCTAAAACATTCTGATATCTTTCCCAAAATCGTTCTCTTTCAACAGTTTTTTTCTAGTTGCAATGATCTACAGGTTGAAACCTAGTTGCTCAATAAGTCTGTTTACAAAGATCTACACATGCATTTGTGACATTGTTTTTTCTCTT